GAATGTGCACTAAAAAGGCTGAAAGCTCCAGGGCTGTGGCTGGATTGTGCCCCAAACCCTCCTGCTGAAGCCCTGGCCCCAACATGACTGAGCCCAGAAGTGGAGAGGGTCATACACAGTCACAGGATGACATCCTGACCTCAGCCACTGCCATGTCAGCCGCCCAGCCTGAGGACACTTCATCAGCTTGAGCACACTGGTCCCGGCAAGCTATCAAATCTGGAATACCTGTATCAGACCTGAGTCTGCTTTTACAAGGAAGCCTTAAATTAACTAAATATTTCAATAACTGAAAAAGCTTAGTTTAATATATAAAAATGGAAGTATCCTAGCAGATATGATAAAGAATAAGCCATGAATATCAATTCAGAATACCTTCCTCTACAGAAAGAACTACCAAACATTACAAAGATCACCTGTACAAAAAGCTTCCCCAGCCTCCCTAGGATCAGCTGCTGCAGGCCAGCAGCTGCCACACTTCCTGGGAAAAGGGTGCCCAGGTCTTCACGAGGCTGATGTGCTCTTGGGTGACACAGGAAGGTCCAGAACATTGGGGTGTGCTGGCATCTTGGTCCTCCAAGAAAGCAGTGGGAGGTTCCAGCCATAGTGAGGCTCAGGTGGCACTGGGCAGACTGCTGCAGGACAGGGGCCCGGCAGTCAGGGGCTGTTGCTCCATAGCCTCCACCTCAGCACACAGTGGACAGTGGGGGGAATGGGTTCTGCTTGCTGACGACCAGCTTCTGGTGCTGATGGGATATGTAGCCCTTGATGTGGCCCTAGGGAGAGAAGGAGGTCAGCACACACTTCCCACCGAGTCACTGCAGGGACACTGGGTCCGGGCCTTTCCCCGCCAGAGGGGACAATGATAAAAAACACATAGAGGCTAGACACTGTGGACACACGAGGCCTTTGAGTGGCATTCCCTGGATAAAATCAGCACTGTCAGAAACAACCCCCGACAGCCAAAGGCCCTGGCAGGTGCACACACCATGTAGATCAGGTTGGCCAGGATGCACTGCACTTCGTCCAGGTCCACGTCTTCCACATGCATGAACTTCAAGGCCACCAGGAAGGCGTCCAGGGACAGCTGGTGGGTTCTGAGTAGCAAGTACCTGGGAGAAGGAGGAAAGGCCCAGTGGGTCACTGTAAGAAACATGGCGACAGTCACATCAAGTATGCAATGACATCACAGTGCACTGACAGCCAAAGCAAGGAGTTTTCAAGACCTCAGAGAGCAGTACCCAAAGAAACTGACTGGCTACACCCAAGAACAGAGAGCCAACTACCACAGGAGTGATAGATGAGATGGCTGGGAATCTCCACAAAACTACACGTAAGGAGGAACGGAAGAGCTGCTGACCAGAAGTGATCATCTCCAACAAAAAGCTAACCTTTACTCACGAACCACACACTCTAGGCCCTGGGGACAAAGTCTGCAGGACCCTGCTGGAATAAGGCGCACACTCCCAGCCTATGGCTTGGACTGACTTGGTCTCACATTTGTGTGAGTGATCGGGATCAGGACCTGTACCTATGTGTGCCTAGTAAAGCAGGGTTTTGAGAGTTGAGGTGTGAGGTGTGAAAGCCTGTGCACTCAACAGGCAGGGTCTGCCTGTCCACTCTGCTTGCATCCTTACCTCTCACCTAAGGTGCTTGTAACGGTCATGCCTGGAGACCACACGGCCACCACCAAGAGGGGCTAAGGGCAAGTTGGGAAACCACAGCTTTTCATGAAGGAATTAAGACAGTTCCCACTGGTTATGTACACCCTGGAGAACTCTACAGAAATTGAAGAACTTCACCTATTTAAAAACCTGCTAGGATAAGCAGATTTTACATTTACTGAGCGTTCCATCACTCAGTCTAAGATACCTTATCTTTCCACATGTTACTAGCTCTGAAGAGAGGCTGTATCTCACAAGAGCACAGCTGCTCACTACTTTTGATGGGCAACCCATGCCATGCAGACGGCCGGCTGGGATTCGCCTGACTTCCTGACACAGGGATGGCTCAGATGAAGGACAGGCAGGGCGCATCACCGCCAGGGCCCAGCGGCTCACACTTTCTTGAAGAGGTTCCTGTAGGTGATGATCTTGAGCTTCTCCAGGATGAGGAAGATGCCACAGCGGATGAAGAAGGTCTCGTGCCTGGCCAGCGCCTCGTGCAGCAGCAGCAGGTTGCCCTCGCTGGGAGAGCAGGAGAGTGCATGAGCCCCGCCCCTCATGCCTGCCTTCGCCTCTGCTTCCCAGGGAAGGGACGACACCCACCTCACAGCTTTGGTCACCTCGGCAAACTGCATGAGGTGGTACTTTCTCAGCAGCTCCACAGTCGGCATGTGGCCCTGCAGAGACAAGGGTGGCTCTCCAGAGAGGGTACAACTTTACCAGGGAATCAGACTCTCCCATGCAGCAGAGGATGCCAGGGGAAAGCCCAGAAATCAGGAAACAAGTACTGTGTGGTTTCACCTGTCAGTGGACGGGCCCTCGAGCCCGACCTTCCTGTGCTGCGGTCAGTGGTATGGTAGGACAGGTGTGAGGGACAAAAAGAGCAGACACGCACAGGACTCAAGAGTAGGAAACGTCTCCCACAAAGATCAGCAAGCACCACTCAGAACCAGGGCAGGTGCCCAGCTCTCCACCAGGTGTTCTGTGCTGGGTCACTCCCCGCCGCTTGTGGGTATGGTTCCATTTTCATTCACTCAGTTATTAGTTTTGAGTGGGAGAAAAGCAGCTCCATTGCTGTGAGGCTGTGACCACCGACTAATTTACCAGCTATAACATGGCTTTTCTACTCGAGTATCAGCATGAATTTTGGGAACTCCCCAAGACACCTAAGGGTAGGCTGCAAGAACAGTCCCCTTTCTTGGCTAACCTGATGCTATGGGTTTAGGCTTTAGGGAGCAAAGTTAATAGTACGAATGTTCAGCCTGAGCCCCTTTCATGAAGCAACACAAGTACCGCCTTTCTGGAAGAGCCGAGGGCCAGGCTCTGAGAGGCTGCTCACCACTCAGCACTCTGCCCCAGCTGGCCGCACAGACATCGTCCACACACTGTCACCAGACCGCAGCCCTCCACGTGGTGACAGGGCTGCAGAGCAGGACAGCCACTCACCAGCAGCATCTTCACAGGCAGTAGGTAGATGAGGATCATCCTCTTGTTCTTCTGGCTGGAGCGGTGGCAGTGGGTGAAGGCGAAGGATAGGTACTCCTCGGCTGCGGAGCAGACACACTCGTCAGCCTGCTCAGACAGCCCCCGGCACCACCCTCCTGCTCCCGTCCTGCCCACACATTCACAGGGCTCCCCGCACGTCAAATGGACTTGACCTGGACAGATTTCAAAACACAAAGCAGATTTTATTACCCAGATTAACACCACAGACTGCAGGGCACAGACATGGGAAGCTCCACCTGGGCCACCTGGACACTGTCAGCACAAAACGGCCACTGAGATGCTCCCAGGCCTGAAGACTGAGGTCCACACAGGGCAAGGGGAGGCTGTCAGGCTTAAGGCTGCCTCAGGAGTGGGGACAACACGAAGCCAGCAGGCAGCTCGTACCCCAGAAGAACACAGAACCACGCAGGGCTGGCTCAGCGGAGTGCCTGCCAGAGGCATGAGTGCTGGGCTGGCAAATAAACACCTAGCCTTGCACAGGGGAGGGTGGCGGCCAAAGTGGCCCAGAGTACCACCCCTAGACTTGAAGCTGTGCCGCCAGAAGCCCCACAGGGGCCCTGAGGCCAGGTGCAGGCTGCTGACTGCATCCACCAGCTCCGAGGGTGACCCCTGACCCTGGCCCTAGGCCCTGGGGAACACAAACATGGCCTTTCCAATGTCTCTGAGGGTCTGGAAATGCATCCAATCTTGTATTTTGCTTGGAAACAAAAATATCTAGAAAGGCACAAATCTCTGAAACTATAAATTACTGAAAATGTGTAACAAACAGTGGAGACGCTCCAAATATTTTCTTCTTTACACACATAATGTAAAAGTCACCGGAAAGAGCTGAAATCATTCCACACTTCACAGTGTTTCACCCACCTGGATGCATCCCAGGATGGCAGGAATTCCCAGCAGTAGCAGGGAGATCCAAGGCCCTGGGGCTGCCAAGCAGAGGACCCCAGGCCAGAGCCCCTGCACCAGCAAGAGTCAGGTGGGGCAGTGACATCTTTCATAGGAAAATCAGAGCTGAGCAGGCAGCCTGGAAGGCACCTTTAGCTCTGAGGTGGGGACTCTGAAGGCAGCAACATCAACACTTCGTGCCTGGCTGTGCCACGTCTTCACTCAAGAAAACCACCCTGGCACCTTGGTAGACTTCAATGGGATTTAATTTAAAGTAACTCCTTATGCCTTCTCTGAAGAGGGAAAGAAGAGGGTGAGAACCAAGGAAGGCCTCCCTTGAAAAGCCTGACATCTACTGAAGATTCTGTAAAAAAGTGAGTCTGTGTAAGCCCAAGTAAATCACTGGTCAAATGCAACTGCTCCCACCCGCAGAGAATCCAGCCCTGGGCAGTGGTGGGCAGCTGCACCCAGCGGGGCCTGCTGCTGGCTCTGCACACTGGGCGTGTTGGGCCGACAAAAAGCCAAGGCAGTGAGCCTGAGTCTGGTCCAAGTGCACCGAGAGCGGAACACACAGCCCTTGCTGCCAAACAAAAGGTGACAAAGACAAGACTGGCTCTGTCAGCTTGAGAAAGCTGCCAGCAGGACTGACGTAACCTACATGGCTGCAATGCCAACATGGTGGCTCTTTGGAAGGCCACAAACACAAGCCAGGACCAAGGCCCCAGTGATGCCCTGCTGCCTGCTGAGTCCTTCCACTGGGACTTTAGGGAGCCTTCAGTGAAGAGACCATTAGGGAGGCTGAGGCAGAAGCATCACAAATCCCAGCCCAGCCCATGGAATTTAGCAACTTAATGAAACCCTGACACAAAATGAAAAGTGGAAAAAGGGCTGAGGGTATAGCTCAGTGCAAAGGCCCTGGGTTTAATCACCAGTACTGAAAAAATAAAGAAAAGAAAGATAAGAAAGACCCTTACCAACATCTGGCCCAGGCTGGCCTGTGTCCCAGGGACCTGCATGTATTAAGAACCTTAAACACAAGCCTCAGTGCACACGCAGTTTACCACCTTTAGTAAGGACGAAACAGTGCCTGTGTTCTCAGACACGGCCCGCCTCTTCTGAGGAGACTGACAACACACCTTGCTTAAAGTCACTGTCAAACATGGCCTTGCGCCCCACATAGTACTTGTACGTGACCCTCTGCGCAGTGCTGTAGTCGTCCTTCAGGTTCGAGCTGTCGATAGCACGGATGAGGGGCTTACACAAGTGCAGCTTGTTGATCTGAGGTGACACCAGATTCATGGGCAGGTAGAAGGACAAACACAAGCGACAGCTTTACCAACAGCATACTTTGCATCCCACCAAAATTAACAGCATATAACTGAGGCTGGCTGGCCACAGCCCACAGGCTCTCAGAAAGGTGGCCGCAAATGATCTCTACACACCCAGCCACCTCTACACCTGCACTTTGACAGAGCTCATCAACCAGGACCGAAGGTTCTGAGGGAGCTGCCTGCCACGGAGCCTCCATCCCAAGCAGAGCCACCTGTGCTCACCCTCAGGGCTGACAAGGCAGTGGTGCAGGAAGCACGGGCACAGCAGCCTACTCGTGGGGGTGCTCCTAGGCGAATGCCAGCACTTAGGCGGACACTGGCGCTATACTCACTTCCCAAGCTATGCCAAGGTGGCCAACTGGTAACTAGTAGAAACGGCAGGAGAGAGAACTGATAAAGTTACCTTAAAGTAGATCTTAAACAGCTGATTCACAAGAAACAGCATGCCCCATTTCTTTGAGTCCTCGATGCCAGCACGACTGAGGGAAAATAACATTTCTAAAGTTAAGGAGGAAATGAAAACTTGTATGTCACAAAATAAACTGCTTAACAGATTATGATCTTGAGATTAAGTCCCATAGCTTGAGTCATATTCACCAAATAAAATACCATTATGAAAAAAGGTAGCTTTTGCTGCACCACTAAGAGAAACAGATCCCAGGTCTGATTCCCGGGGCCCCAAGAAGAACTCAACAACTGCATTCATCTCCTACCACTGTTAAAAGCCAGGCCACCTCAAGAGGAACTGCGCTAAGAGGCCGCATGGGCCATGCCTTGGATGCAAAGGAGACCACTGGAGATCGGTCTGCCCTCTGAGGTGGAGGCCCCAGAGCTCAGACCCATGCTACCAGTTAGTCCAACAGGAATGAGAGGGCTTGGGGCATGGCCTGCCTTCTCCCTCTGGCCAGACCGTCATCTCCATCAAGGAGCCCTGGGTAATCATGACTATGGAGGAACAAGAAAATAGCCTGTTGCTAGACACAGGTGCAAGTCTCTCGGTCCTTCTTTTCAATCCTGGCCTTCCTTCCAGCCATCCTACCTCAGTGAAAGGAGTCAGTGGTGAGGAGGTAATATGCTATTTTTGACAACCCTTAGGCTGTAACTACTTATTAGATCCTTCTTGCATATCTCTGTCTTCCTGAGAAACCACTTTGAAGATACCACCATGTATTACGGCAGCCGTTGATATTTTCCTACTAATCTATCCATAACTGTGTAAAGTTTGTAATGTTCCTATCCTATTTCATAAATGGTTGTATGTTTATTATTAAGTGTTTCCTACAACAACCATTGAGAAGAGTTAATGATTTTTCAATAGGTCACTCATGCATAGCTCTATTTATTTTCTTTAGAAGCCACTTTGAAGATACCAAAGTATAGTACAACAACTCTTGATAATCTCCTACCGCTTTTGTCTGTAACTCATTATTATTTGTCTATTTGTTTTCCTGAGAAACTATTTTGTAGATAACAATATGTAAAACAATAACCATTGATAATTTCCTACCATTTTGTCTGTAATTTGCTAAGTCCCCCCTATTATTATGTTATCCTTCTTTTACTCTGTAAAATAAAATATATGTGATTCTGTCAAAAAAAGAAAAAAAAAATAAAGAAAAAAGGTATTGTACAAATAGGTAAATTTGAAAAATAAAAAAGGTCAGCATGGAAAGTGGAACACCAACGGGATATCTGGATGCTTGGCCAGCTGCACTAGTTGGACACGGCCTGCTCTGCCGCAGGGTGACATTGACAGTGACTGTCATGATGCCTGTCTGCAAGAGAGCAGCCTCAGCATGGCTGTCAACAGATGCGTACACGGCAGTGCCCATGCACAGTCACCCAAGGACCCTCATACAGAGGGTGGCATCCAGGCTCTGCTTGTGAGGGGCGACCAGAGGCTGCGCCTTGATTGGTCTGGTAGAGCTGCACTGGGGTACACTGGTCAGAACTCGGCAAATACAGAGTGGGCCTACAGAGCCGGAGGAAAACACACACCAACATCTGCAATTGACTCTGAGACACATTTTCCTTTGTATTTTTTCTCTTTTTTTGAGACAGGGTCTTGCTATGCAGTTCAGGCCAGCCTTAAGCTCACTTTGTAGCCCAGGCTGGTCTTGAACTCACAACAATCCTCCTACCTCAGCCTCCCAAGTGCTGTGATTACAAGCATGCACTACCACGCCTGGCTTCTGAGACACATTTTTAAAAAGAAGAAAAGAGAACTTCAGATGAAAGGAGGGTTGCACAGGGGGAAACAGCAGCAGATCTGCAGGAGCGAGCACAGCAGCATTCTCGGAGTGGAGCTCTCGCTCCCTGCCGTGCCACCCTTCCAACATCGCATCTTCCATGGTGCCGCACGGAGGAGACTCATCTGAGGCACCCACACCTGCTCTCCCCCCTGGGAGGTTGCCAGCCACAGTGTGCAGCCTGGCAGCACACACAAGCACACGGGCAACACAGCTCGAGCCTGACAGCAAAACTGCTGCTCAGCAGCAAGAGGGGCCCAGACAGAAAACCTGGAGTAAAGCTAAGTCCACCTTTAAAATGCCAGAGCTGTTTTATAACTGCCTCGCTGGTCAGCTGCTGCACAGCTCTCTGGCTCACTTCTCATCACTGCTCCTCCCATAGCTGGAGTGAGGTTCCTGCGGTCTCTTGGTTCCATCTCCCTCGAGTTTGAATGGAGACAAGAGCAATGTGCTGCCTGAGCCAAGGAGTCACAGGGAAGAAACCTGACAGCAAGTGCATAGACAAGACGTGCTGCCTTCTGGCATCTCCGGCCTGGCTCGTGGGGTGACAGGCACCCTGACCCTTGGGGACCGATGTGTTCCTTGGGGTTTGCCTTGTCTTCCAGGTCCAGACCCAGAAGCAGCACTGCTGGGCCCCCCGGTGGCTCCAGGTCCAGCCTTCTGAGGACTCCACACCCACCAGCATTGCATGTGGCTCCAGATTTCCCTCCTGTAGCCCCATCTCTGCCCACCACCATCCCAAGGGACAAGACATGTGGGCCTGCTAGTCCTGGCCTGTTTCCTGGGTGACCTGGCCCTGGGCATCTTTTCATGTGATTACTAACCATCTGAGTATCTTTAGATTTTTCAAGTCCTTGTCTGTTTTTCAATTGGTTTGTCTTTTTTACTGTTCAGTTGTAACATTCCTTCTTATATCCCAGATACCAAACTGTTATCAGATACAGTATTTGTAAATACATTCTGTTCATTCTACAGTTGTTTTTCACTTTTTGGTAGTGTCCTGTGAAGCACAAGTCTTTAATTTTGATGAAGTCCAACTTAGCTACTGCTTCTCTTCAGTTCCTTTGCTTTTGGTGCTGAGCTGGAAAACCACTTCCTAACCGAAACTCATAGAGATCACTGCCATGTGGGAGTCTTCAGCCCCACCGAGTTTCAAGTGTTCCTAAAACATTCATCAGGTTACGATGCCAGAAGAGACCTAGCCCTTATGCAGTTTGCAATAGACACACACTGGATCCTTAGCCTGCAAAGGAAAGGCAGAGCACTGCAAAACAGAGAAATGCCTGTCCACCGGTACTACTTGGGAAAGGTCTGCAGAGCACAGAGACCCTCAGTCATGTGGGGACAGTGGGGCGGGCAGAGGATGCCCAGGCGAGGGAAAGAGCTCTTGGAGAACACCTCAGTGGGAAGCCCCTTAGAACATGAAGGGATTTTCTAAGTCCAGGTCAGGCTAGAATGTTCTCAAGGGATTGAGTAGGGGAAAAAGGAGAGAGAAAGATGTGAAACTAAAAGAGTTTCTGCTTTACAATAAGAGTATTTCTGAGCAGGCCGGTAACACACGTCTGTATCCCTGCTACCCAGGAGGATCATATGTTAGAGGCCAGCCTGGGAACTCAGACTAAAAAAACCAAAACACCAGGAAAAACAAAACTGTATATACACACTTTCCTAAATCTCATAATCAAATAAATGTGCTTATATAATGAGTGAAGAGCTGGAGTCTCAGGAGAAAGATGGAAACTCTAAAGCAGAATCAGACAGAAAGTCCAGAACACCAACAGCAGCTATGATCAGCCGCCTTGCAAGCAGATGAACATAAGCTGCCCAAAATGAAGAGAAAGACAAACATAAAATGTAAAGTCTTTGCAATTTAAAACCTAATACAACACCATCAACTTATAAACCTAAGAAGCTCCATGACCCTAAAGAGGAGAAAGAAAAAACACTAAGCAGGCAGAGCAGTCAAGCTCCTGAAAGCCAAAGGCAGAGTGAAGCCAGCCAGGGACAACACCACCCTGTGCCAAGGAGCTGGGTCGACCTGGCCCTGCCAGCAGCAAAACAATCCCTCAGAGGGATATAAGTGAAGGGCTGAACAGGAAAAACGATCGTCATCCCACAGCCTTCAAAGATGAAGGACAATGAGGACAGCGTCAGAGACAGGAAGGCTCAGTGGGCTCACTGCCCGCACTGCCAGAGGATGTGCGGCACATACACCGTGGAGGACAGCACATGGGGGGCTCAGAGACACTGGCCACACCAGGAAGTGCCAGACAGGGATCGCTGGTTACACCTGTCTTCTGAAAGAGCAAGTAAAGGGGACCATACACACACTTAACAAATGCCAACGATGAGCCATGGACAGAGGGCCTACTGGCAGACGGGGTGCACAAACGGTACTCACGTGTCACTGGCACAGACTCGGAAGCAGCTCATTAGCAACTCAGCGGCTTTCTCCAACATATCCCCGACTTTGCTTTTTCCCTTCTTTACCAACTGCTGATCAGCCTAATAGGACATAAAAACATTTACTTTTTAAAGCAAAAATGGGTAAAACTAAGTGTCAACATTGCAGGAGGTTTGCGAGACCTCATCAAGTACTCGAGCAGCACACGCTTTATCCCAGCTCATCCACCGCTATCCAGCTCTGCCTGCACACCACAGCACTGGGCAGCTTCCTCCCCACCGTGTCTCTCGCTCTCTCTCTCTCATGGTGGCAATCACAGCCCTTAAAAGAAAACCTTTCGGGATCCACCAGTCATTACTAAGCGTGACTATTCTGTTTTTTGGATAGTCTCGGTTGAGGAACAAACCGGTCTTCTCCGAGCCCTGCCCTTGCCACAGCCCACGTGGTGACAGCCACTTTCACAACGACCCTGGACCACTATCCTGGTGTCTGTGCCCACCGGGCAGGTGCGATGTGGGGGCCTCAGGCTGCACCCCATCTCTCTGCCCTCGGCACAGGCTCCTGCGCCTTCAATCCTGTGAGAAATCAGGCTCTGTGGTTTATAAAATGTGCGGTTCATGGCATTTTGCAACAGCAGCCTGCATGAAAAGACCAGTGATGAAACCACAAAGCCAGCACAGGTAAAAGCCATTCAATGTGCAGGACACACCTCGGATTTCAGTGCCATGGTAGGAAAGGGTCATTGCTATGCTTTAGAGGCCACACGGTAACTTTTTAAAACTGCCTCTTAGAGCTTTGATATAGTTTCAAAAAGGCATCCTCTATGATGATCTGAAAAGGCAAGTAAAATACTCCTTCTTAAAAAGACTGACTTTGGTCCCCAAATCTCTTCAGACACTTCCAGCAAAACATCCCTGCAGTGGAGTCTGTGAGGAAGCAGCAGGACCCCAGATGGCCCCTGTGCCATGAGGCAAAAAGACCTTCAGATAGCTTAGGCCCCTCTCCTTAGCACCTTCTGTCTCTTGGAAACAGTTCTACTTTAAAAGTTAGTGACACTATCATGTAAAAGCTTAATTGTGGTTATTTTAAATGAATATTAAAATTAAATGAATAAAAATTAAATGAATAAAATTAAATGAATATTAAAATGTCAAAACAGTACATACAAATGGATATAACAGAAGTAAAAGTTCTCTGGGGTCCTCAGTTAATACATTTTTCAATCTAAAATGACCATCTCGTTCTTCTTTATATCTCCTGTTTCTTCCCTGAGACTTGACATGATTCAAGCATGTCTGTCTTATTCATTGAAGCATTTTTATGATGGTTACTTTAAAAAAAATTTTAGGTGGTACTGGGGATCAAACTAAGGGGTGCTCTACCACTGAGTTACAACCCAGCTGTAGGATTTCACTAAGGTGCGCAGGCTGGCCTTGGACTTGCAACCCTCCAGCCTCAGTCCTGACTGGCTGGGAGTACGGGTATGTGCTACCATACTTGGCCTGATGGTCACTTTCAAGTCCTCTGCAGATAATTCCAACAGCTGTTGTCATCCAGTGCTAGAGTTTGTCAACCATCTTTTCTCACTCAAATCTCAGAAATTGAGATTTCCTGGCCCTTATGTGATCAGACTTTCCATTACGGCACATGCTCAACCTCCAAGGTGTTACGCTGTGCTCCCACTGTTGCTGCAGATCTCTGCTGACCCAGCTCTGGAGAGTGGAGGCCCCACCTCTTGACCCCTTCCTTTGCCAACAGGGCCTGTAGTGCAGCACCAGCATGAGCAGACACTGTCAGGAGTGCTTCACCCTCCTGGACTCCCTGGAGCACTATGCCTCGGTCTGGGGGCATCTCCAAAGAGACAGGATGACAGGAAACCACTGCCCCTTGGACTCCCAGCACCTCTGCTCCCACCAAGTGGGCTTCGAGCCAGAGCACGGGAGGAAAGGGAAAATTCTGTCTGCTCCCTCAGATCCAGATTAAAAAATCATCCACCATTCTTAAAGCTGTGAGGGATCCAAGATGAAAAAGATGGAGACTGCAGCTCCATTCCCGGTTTATGCTGACCCCAAGGGAAAGTCACCACCGTAACATTCAGGGCCTTTTCCCTTCCTGCCACAGAAGCTTTAGCTGCTTCCGGAGTCTGCAATATGCTCGAGTTCCTCAGCAGAGGAGGCCACATCTGACCAGTAAGAGAATGGTTCCATCCTGCACACACTCCTGTGTAGGTCACAGGTGGTAACCTGGCTGCAGAACCTGCCTCTGCCTCTACAGGGTAAAAATCTGAACAAAGCTGTCTCATCAACCCAAAAGAACCAATCTGCCAAGCCACTTCCTGTTCTTTGCCTCCTATACCAGATATATCTCAAATCCCACTCATTCTTGGAAACTCTAGGAAAGAAAAACACTAATTGAAGCAGCAGTCACCAAGTTTCAGTCTTAAAATCATGTGAAGAGACTGAACTTACATTATTGGCAAACACTCGCAGGTCCAAGGCCACCGCATACATGACAGGAAGAGCCCTGCGGAGCAGAGAACACATGATGAGGCTGTGTGTGCAGGACCCTGCATGGGGATGGTAGAGCACTGCTGCCAGGCTGCACTCCAGACAAACACACCACATGGCGGGCACACACCCACTCTTGGCCCGGCGAAGCCGCAGCTGGGCTCCCTGACCACCTTTAAGGCCAGCCCTACACACGGCCCTGACACCACGCAGTCCCTGTGGGGCTCCTGGGACAGTGCCATACCCTCTATACCCCAGCACCCACAAACAGCCCCATTCAGTCATGTGGTTATAAGGTGGCCTAACAGCAACTACAGTATGTAATATCCATGTCATAAAGCAGCATTCTGTATATCCATGGGTAGCACTGAACTTCTTGGTGTGCATGAGCTGATTCTTCACCCAGCCAGGGAAAGGGCCTGGACTGTTTGTAAAAGGCTTTCAGCCATTTCAGTATGAACAAAACTTAAAAGCTCATAGTTTGTTAGTAAATCATAAACCTTAAAAATAAAAAGTAGGAGCTGCGCACAGTGGCGCACGCCTGTAATCCCAGCACTAGGGAGGCTGAGGTAGGAGGATCACTGTGACTTTGAGGCCAGCCTGGGCTACAAAGTGAGTTCAAGGACAGCCTGAACTGCATAGTGAAGCCCTGTCCCAAAAAGACAAAAAAAACCACAACAACCAAAAACCATTAAAAAATGCCATTTGCTAATCTCCGGATGCTTTCGTGCACTCACCAGTTTTCCTCTTTGTGAGCCTGGAACGCCCGCAGGAACGATGTACAGTGTTAAGGAAGGCAAAAGACACGACTCAGGAGTGCTGCAGGAGGCGAAAGCAGAGAATGGGGTTCCACACTTGAGGCACACACGGCCCTGCCTCTGAATGCTCCTGGGTCGTCCCAGCAGGGTGTGCTCACAGATAAACAGCTGAGTCCCAGCTACAAACACTTGTGCACCACAACGTCTACATTGCCAAATACCACATGTTTATTTCATACATCATTTCCCCAAAGTGAGACTTTCTTATCAGATTTTTAAATTTGTTTGGTCTCTCTGAGCTCAAATGGTCACAATTATATTTAAGCACTCCGGAATCTGTGGTATAAAGTTTATTTCATTAACTCTAGAATTCTTAGATTCCAAGGAGACATGCCTAGTAACCCACTTTCTTCTGGGGGTACTTCAACAAGATGGTCTTATAAAAGCAAATACTTACAGCACCTACTGATGAGGCTCTGAGCCCTCACCTGTCACTTGTCCTCTCCAGGGGTAGGACAGTGGCTTCATAAGGTCATCAGTGGTCCTGTGTAATGAGCACACGTGCCTCCGCCCACCCAGTCTAAGAAGCCTGGACTTCAGATGTTTCACTCTAGGGATGCCAAAAGCTAACCTAATGCTCTAAGGGCAACCAAGTGTGAAACTCCTCCACAGAGCGAAATGGAAACCACCTTCTCAGCCAGGGCTCTTCCATGCTGTGTAGTAACTGGATGCATCTTAAGATCCATGCAAACTCAGCTGGCCTGTGAGTCTCTCTTCCAAAATAGTTCAGTTCTTCTAACTGCAGGTTTGAACAACTGGCTCGATGTTTTAAGGTCTGAAGTCACAGCAGCACGCAGCCCCATGCATGACAAAGGATATTGGACTATCACCGTCTGGCACTTGTACGCCTCTATGAAGTCGTGGTTCCCTACCGCATAGGTGCACCTGGAAAGCAGACATCACCGCCAGTGACAGTGGCGTCAGAAATTGCTTTTACACAAAGAAAACCCAGATGGTGGCACATTGGCCACAAAGCTTGGCTCTTCATAGCGCCCTGTTCCTCACAGGGCTGGAGGGGAGCCGGTGCTCTGCTGGGCAGGCAGTCGAAGGCCTGGTTGGGGAAGGACACAGAGCTGACATGGCTGTGTATGTGTGAAACCCAAGGCCCCCTGCCAAGGTGCAGATGGGCACTATCTCAGCAGGGCTGAGCACGTTGAACAGGTGCACAGCATGGCCCTAATGCTGTGCCTAGGGCAAGCCTAAGTCCCCCCTGAGCAAGCAAAACCAGTCAGGCCACCATGTACCCTGACCCCCATGCAGGCTGTATAGAGCTGGGTGATCACAGGGTGCTCACACCCTGGGATGTAGGGTACCAGGTTTCCCAAAGACCTCATGGGTTGTAGGCTTTCCCTGCTCATGACCATCTGGGCCCGCATCCAACCAGCTCTGCAACACAACAGGCTGGGCAAGGGCCTTGGGACACAAAGGCCTCCCTGGGCAGGTGTTCCGGAGATAAAAATAGCAGATACAGAGTATGAGTGAAAAGCAATCTTATGAGCTGGAGATACAGTTCAGTGGTGCAGTAGTTGCAGTAGTTCAAGCTCTGGGTTCAATCCCTAGTACCAGCGGTTAAAAAAAACCAAAAACAAAACAGTGTTTTTTGTTGCTATTTTACTCTATTCAATTCCAGTTTCTTTCCCAGCAAGGCAAACAGGTTAAAAAATAAACACACTTAGGTACAGTGATGCATGCCTGTAATTCCAGTTATTTAGCAGGCTAAGGCAGGAGGAACAAAGTTTGGGGCCAGCCTGGGCAACTTATCAAAACCCTGTGTTACAAGGGGTTGGGAATGGAGCTCAGTGGTATAGCGTTTGCCTACCATGTGGGAGGCCCTGGGTTCAGGCCCTTGTACAACTAAATACATAACAAACAAACTACATTTCCGTGAAGGACGCGAGTGCTTAGCCGGCTCCACACACCATGACAACGACCGCGCTGTCCAGTCCGTGTGATCAACACCAAGCGCCTCCACAGAGGAACACAACAGCCACATAAGGTTTTCTCTTTACCAAGTCCAATTACGAACACACTTTCCTACTTTTTCACAGTCACTTATTCACCATTTCTAACGTAAGATGCTGGAAGATGAAATCCCTACTCAGCTCGTCATTTTCAGTTATGTTTTGGGGCCCCACCAACGTATTACCTTAAATGAGCTGCAAACATTTCATCATAAGGAGGTTCCAAAACTTGCTGGCATTTCTCTTCCGGAGAAGCCATCTGATTAATAAAAATGGTGAAATAAAAGTAATGGGTACAGAAAGAGTGCAATGTACACAAAGAGTCAGACAAACTGAAACTTCACAGTTTACCCAGGCATAATATAATATAATCCCACTATCCTGGGAAGCTGAGGCAAGAGGACTGCAAGTTCAAACCCTGCCTGGGCAGCTCAGGGACTCAGTTAGTATCCCATGTCAAAAAAATAAGAGAGAGCTGGGGATTGTACCTCAGTACAATGGTTCTGGGATCAAGGGTTCGATCTGCCATATCAGAAAACAAAAAACAAAAACCTCATGGTTTACACTGCTATTTTAAAATTTAGCGCCTATAAAAGGCTCATGATTTCAACAATATTTATCAATACTCCAAGGTAACAAGAAGCTCCACAGTCCAACAGACATTCTATCCCCTTTCACATGTATTTTAGTACCCAGGAGCCAATCAAGAAATCTTCAGCAATTTCTGAAGGCGTAATAAGTAAGGCACACAGTACCTTCCATGATTAGGCCTAACAAGTAAGGGACACTGTCCCAGGAGTGAGCACACCACCACTTTCTGGAGGTAGCAATGTGTCCCAGCTGGTAGGCAACATCAAGTCTAAGATTCTCCACCTCCCAAGAGCTATGTGTTAGGTACTTTCAGCACTACAGTGTGTGACAGTTCATTTATGTGTCCACCTCCCCGGCCAGGGCATGTCAGATCATATACCACCTCTACATTGTCTGGGAGGGTGCTTCTCTATGAGATGGCACCTGAACTCATGGTCCCAGTCAGGGTAGGTGGGCACCAGCCAACCTGTCAGGGGCCTGAACAAAGCCCCTCTGGCTCCTCACTGCCTCCCTGAACTGGGACATCATCTCACTTCCTTCAGCCCTCAGACTGGATCCTACACCACCAGCCCCTGGTTCTCCAAATGCAGGGTGAGCCATGCTATGGGTTCTCTCTAGCCCCAGTGTGGAGATGGGGACTTCTTATCTCCATAATCATGCAGTCCAATTCCTCATGCTAAATCTCCTCATCAGCTATGTTACACACACCTGTAAGTTCTGCTTCTAGGGAGGGTGAGGCAGGAGAATCACATTTTCAAAACCAGACTGGGGTATAATTCTGTGCAAGACTCTGGGTTTGATTCACAGTAATTCTCCAGCCAACCTGCACTGACAAGCACTGGCCAGGTGACTGGGAGGAACACAGCTGCAGCACACACGACTGGCTCCTGGGCCGTGGGGACAGACAGGTCTGGAGAGAGCCCAAGCCCTACGGCCTGTCTGCTGGATGACCATGATCCAGGCACCCCTCACTTCTCCAAACCCCAGGGAGGTGGTGGGAATTAAGTGCAGGAATGCAAGGGCCACGCTCAGTAAACGAATAAATGAAATGGTGTCATACAAAGTACAAAGCACTTGTCTTAAGTATGGGCAGCCTGCAGTTCTCTCCAGACACCTGTGTTCAGCACATCACCAACCTGCAGCCGGGGGTTTGCCACATGAGGATGCTTGAAAGACACCAGCTCTGCACATGACGCTCCATCTCTGGTGTCGATCGCTTCATACACCTGCAAGGTGTCAAAGGGAAAACCTAAGCCTGCAGAGAACGTTCTGTTCTACCAGGACCTAAGCAACATACTGCATACCATGAAGCTCAATCTTCTCTACTCTGAAAGGGGCCAGGATAACCTGGACACAAGATGCCCATACTCAAGCCAGACATAAGAATTTCATTAGGTTATTGGTTTACTATTTGGTTATTAATAAAGGTGACTTATTCTACTTGAACTTGGTCACACTGATGATATATTTGAAAACACCTGCACAGTCTAGCTTATGAAAAAACTCAGCTTAAAAGCTGGTTGCTGTGGTGTGCTCTGGTATTCCCAGCTACTGGGAGGCAGAGGCAGGAGGATGGCTTGAGCCCAGGAGTTCAGGGCCAATCAGGAAAACACCCTGAAATACCATCTTAAAAACAAACAAATAGGGGCTGGGGATTTAGCTCAGCGGCAAAAGCGCCTGCCTGGCAAGCGCAAGGTCGTGAGTTCAATTCCTGGTACCGGAAAAAATAGAAAAAACAAAACAAAACAAAAACAAACAACTAATAACAACCAAAGAAGCTTAAAAGACATATATATCCAAAACGCAAAAAGGTTCTACTCAACCTAAACATAAAAGGGAAAGGGAAAGGCTAAATAAATGCCATTATGTTTACATGACATGATAGCTGCTGTTAATAAAATGGGCCCACACGCAGTAAAATATGAAAGTTCCCCAATATGCTTATTGTTCAATGGGAAACAGTTAACTACAGGGAAACTTCCTGACTTGGCTCCAGGGAGAAAAGACCAAGACTGTGCATATCGTGTGGACACAGGGAGCAGTACAGGACCACATGCCAGGCCAACCGAACACAGAATCCACACAGGGCAGGCTGAAAGGATTACTTTACACACTGTTGAAAGAATAGAAACCAAGCGTAAAGCTACATCTGTAATACAGTAATATAATCTAACAATAGTAAGCTATATATGTAAATCTTATGTCCACATCGTTTTCTTCCCTGAAATGAGGTCTTGCTAGGTTGTCCAGGCTGGTCTCGAACTACTGGGCTCAAGCGATCCTCCTGCCTCAGCCTCCTCAGTAGCTAGGACACAGGCCTCTGCCAAGCCTGTGGTTGCCATGTGCTGCTCTATTGTTCTTCCCACCTGAGTCATAGTATGACCTTGGTCCTCAGAGCCTGAGTAGGTGCCCAACTCTGGTGAGCATCAGGGACTCTGATCACTCCCTGTGCTTGAGCCTGATGTGATAAAGGTGTCCAAGGCCTCCAGAACTCTCTCTGGAGAAACCAATAGGTGTGAAGAGATAGAATGGGAGCGAGCACTGTGAAACAGGGACACATCTGTGACAGACGAAGGTATTGGAAACACTGTGCTTGCTGAGGTCCAAACCAAGGCCGGCCCAATGCCGGATGCATACTTAGGAAGCAGCCCCTGCAGGACATGCTGCTGCAGCTCCACCTCACTCCTTTCTGTGAACCCCCAGGTTGTCCTGGGAACAGCAGGATGCAGTGGGACCCCATACTGTTTAGCCACACCCACCTGAACTGTACTCACACCCTCAAGTTCCACCCAGCACAGCTCCACTGCGCCTGGCCTCCCTGGAGAGGCTCCCCCACAGTAGTGCCCTGCCTTGAGGACGATGGTGGGAGGATGCCAAGAGGCTGTGTAAAGGGAAAACAAGGACAGAGCAGGCCAACCAGGATGTGGCTGGCTGCTTGCTGAACACAGATGCTTCAGCAAGGTCTAGCATGTTGTACCACAGAATCTTCATATTTTCAGGGTATAGACCCTGACAGGGCTGGGGCTGTAGCTCAATGGTAGAGCACTTCACTAGCGTTCAGGAGGCCCTGGGTTCCATGCCCAGCAGCCCCCATCCAAAGACCCCTGACTGGACCACAGAACCATACTCCCAAGCAGGGACTTCGAGTCCGTCCCTGGTGGGTGCATTGAGATGTTCTCTGCCTCAGGCAACCTGAGGCAGTGCTAATAAGCCTGTAGCATGTGTGTAATTTGTTAATTTTAAGAAAAAGATGTTAATGTATGACTTGCTTTTTCTAACCTCAGTATTCAGGTTCAATTGCAGTGTTGGCACTTTGTGATAAATAAGTGGGTTTTGCAGTTTGGGTACTCATCGCTGCCCTAGGGGAATATCTCTTCCAGCTGCCAGGTCACCTCACATCCTTCAGGCTGGTCCACAGGGCACCATCTATACTTGAAATTTACAATTCCTTAGAAATGCACTTACTTTGTTCACCAGAAGGCCCAGAAGCATTGACTCCCAGAGCAACAAGTGCTCCTGGCACCTGGGCTTGTTTTCCAAATTACATTCTCACAATGGGAACCAGAGCTCCCTGCAAAAAGGGCTGACTCCAGGACTGAAGCACAGAGAAACTGCGCGAGCCTGGAAGAAACAGTGTGCTAGAAAGGGCTCAAAGAGGATGGGGACAGGCTTAAGAGCCACAGAAACCAGCTGAAGAGACGCTGGAACAACAGGAGCTTCAAAACAAATGAAGGTGTATCAGCTTTGACATCACTGGCACAAAATTCCTAATACCCCCACCTAGCAGTTTATTTTGGCTCAAGGTTTCAGTCCACAGTCAGCTGGCTCCAAGGCAGAAATGGCGTGGCATTCACCCTTAATTTCTAATTCTTAGTCTAATCATCACCCCAAAGTATCCTCACTGTATAATTAAAGGGATTCTCAGAGTGCACCTCTGAGAACACATGGCCAAGAGGAAAGGTGCTTTGATGAAGGAAAAACAGATAAAATTTAATTTGACAGTCCACAATGAGTAACTACCACTCATTAGGATGAGGGCTGAGTGTTAGCAAATGACTCGCTTTTCTGCCTGCCCCTCTGGCCGCACTTCCCCGTTCTGCTGGCCTCCACTCACCCAGCCAACAAGTTTCCTAGGCCACAATGCAAAAGCAAGAAAGACAAACCTACCAGTTTCATAGAGCTAAGTTTTAGAGACAAAAAGAGTAAAACAAACAAAACCACATAATTAACAAGCAAATAAAATATGACACGATTAAGATAAGGCTTCTCCTGAACAGGCTATCAAGAAGCCCCCTCTGTGGATATGACATTTCATTTGTGACCTAACAGCTGCAGCCAGCACCACCAACTGCTTCTCCAATTAATCAAGTACCTCCCTTTCCTTAAGCCATCAGAGCCCAGCCCCAGAAATACAAACTCTAAATAGCAATCCTTGCTCTCCCAGTTTCTCTTGCAGTAGGAGGTGACACCGTCCTAAGCGATCAGAAGTTCACGTTGAGGAGGGAGACACATTTTCTTCCCTTATGGAAAGCCAGAGAGTGAGAAGACAACATATTCTTCCCTTACTGTTTCCAAATGCTGGTCACAGAAAGATGCCTGGAGTCACTGCTGCCAAATGCTAACTGAGGGGAGAGCACCAAGACAGCCAGACAACAAAGCAGGGAGGCGGAATGGCAAGACTAATGCTAAACCAAGAGTCATAACTAGACAAAACAGTAGTGTAGTGAGTCAGAAAATTCGACGGACTTTACTAAGAAATAGCTCCTTGGGATTCATCCACTCCGCACACTCACCAACTAGCTTCCTGGGAAACTCTAGTGCAGAGAATGCAAGCTCTGAATCCAGAAACAGCCGTGTTTAACCGTGCTCTTGCCAGTCACCGGCCTTGGACAAAAGCACTGCAGACACAGCTACCAAAAGACAGAAGGCCTGCTACAGGCTAACACAATGTTGTTACCCAGAGGCTGCGACCAGTGGCTGACTCTGACCTCAGTAGGGGCTCCCGCTTGCTCTGGCCAGCCTAAGTCATCTTGCTTTCCACCAGCGTCTGTCTGAAAGTGTGACTGAGGCGAGCCCCTCCGGCGCAGGACTCACTACACCCACCGCGGTAGGAGGCAGGGCCCGAGCTCGGAGCTTGACGCCAGGCCTCACCGGAGCCATTGCTCCCTGCAGACTCGAGCCGCCTGTCCGACTCCGGACGCTGCCAGGAATTTTGAGACCTGCGGACCTTTCCACAACCCCCGCCAGGATCCCTGTTCATCGCCAACCCGCTCAGTCCCCGTCCCCCAGGAACCTCGCTCCCAGCGGATCCTTCTCGCCCTACCCGACTCCAAAACCTGCCCCCTACCAGGCCGATGCGGAGCCAGAGCCGAGGGACCCACCTGCTGCAGATACTGGTTGATGGTGATATGCGCCATTGCCGTTGCCAGCTGTCGCGGGCGGTGACACGTCACTTCCGGCGCGCGTCCGTCCCCACTCGGCCCCCGGCGCCACTGCTCGAGCACTTTGGTTCCGGTTGGGGCGGCGCGCCCAGGAGAGGCACTCGGCTGGGCCCAGCCCTGGGGTGCGCGCGCTCGCGGGCTAGCAGATCGCGGGGCCCCAGAGAGCGGATGTCCGCCAATTGCCGGCCCCGCGCGCCCCCGAACCCTCCCAGGACGCCGGCGCGCGCAGGGAGGGCGTAGCGGCAGTTGGCGCGGG